ATGAGGGAGGGTCCTATAGGATCATTTATATATATATACATATATATATATATATATATATATATTTCGATATCGAGATGATCAATTAGAGGGTTTTTCAATATTAAAACAACATTTTATGATGGATTTTTTAGATGCATCTTTAATTCTATATTTTAAGGTTGCAACCTTCGATAAACTTATTCCTTTTTTTTTAATTCGTATCAAGCTAGATAAAGGAGGTGGGTTGTATTAAGTAGAAAATTAATGTTAACCTCTCCTATATTTTTCATAAATCTTAAATTTATATTTAGATCAAAATTCATGTAGCTGATTCTAAATAATTAGAAAAAATAAAAAACAAAAAACTCTAATAATGACGAATCTCTTTCTATACTTTTTTTTTTATTATTATCAATAACCTAATAGATCACGTAACGATGAAAAGTTAATTTAATAATACAAAGGGAAGGAGCCTTATGATTTCACTTGGAATCGTATGGTAGAAGGTTAAATGGATAATTTTCTTTTAAATATTTTGAGGAAGAGAATAGAATGGTAATTTGTAAAATGGTTTTCATGCTTATCTGTTGACACTTATTCTCCCCCCCAACAACCGAATATCTCCACCCTTTCAATCGGACGGTTCTCTCGCTCAAATTTTTTCTCTCCACACTCTCTCTGCATTCAAAGGGCGAGTGACTGCAATGAATGCTGCTTTCTCTCCATTCAAAGGAAGAGGGACTGAAATGAATACTGCTTTCTCTGCATTTAAAAGGGGGGACCGAAATGAATGCTTCTCTCTCAAAGCGGAACCATTGTTGTTATATCGCTTGTTTATTTTGGTTTTGTGAGAAGTAAATCTGTATTTTGGCCGATTCAGAGAAAATTTTGGATTTTTTTTAATTTAATATAAATAAAATATATATTTATATATAAAAATTAAAAACAAATTAAAAATTAAAAAATTACTTTTATACAGGTATTTTTTTTGTGACCGAAACAGCTCGAAGCTTTGAATGAAGCAAATCCGAAAAGACTCAAATCTGACCGAATCAGCCTGAAATGGCAGCACCATATTTTTTTTCGCTTCGATTTATACTTAAAAACCAAAAGCTTCGACCTCTTCCGCCGAAACTAAGCGAATTGATAACATTGGCTAGAACAATGGGAGCCTAAAGCCATGTACCACCTACCCGCTCCCTTCCCTCCATCCAACTTTTTGTTGGACAACAGCTCTTCATCTAATACTTCAAAAACTACAGTAGTTCCTAACAATTTTTGTGTTTTTGTTTTTTTTTTTGACATGCATTCACTAAATTACATGAAAACATGAGGAACAACAAACATGATATAAAAATGAACAGAAAAATTTTCACAACCAACTCTTGTATATTAACTCCCTATTTAGCTGGTTCATCTGCTTCCTGTATATACAGGTTCGCATATATCTATTACCTTGGACTAAAAGATCTAACATACATTATTGCTCTTTGCTCCTTCCTACACCATTTAATAACATTAATCAAATCACATTCATTAACCTTCACATCCCTCTTTTGCCTCTATAAAAGTATTCTTAGACCTTTTCAAATAGCCACCATCTAGCTGCATTAACGTTGGCTTGCCTATAAGAACTCGAGTAAGCCACGAGTAAATTCCCCAAGTTATCCCTAGAGACAACAAAAATTTGTTGGACCTAACTTATTTAAAGAACTATCATCAAAGTTCAATTCAATTTCGATTGGTTTTTAAAACCAATAGCTTCGAAACCATCCTAATGACCTCATGACTGTATAACATCATATCATGAATGAGATGCACATCATATAGTGAATGAGTTGTACTTTGCTTCTCTACTTATTAATGAAAATCGGGTAAGGGCCTTCTCTCCTATTGACTTACCCAAAAAACAAAAAGATCCATCTATTGTCACCGTTTCTCTCCTATTGACTTACCCAAAAAACAAAAAGATCCATCTATTGTCACCGTAGAAGCAATATCTATGAGGAAGAGTAAGCATGAGCATAAAACTTGAATCCCTTGCTAGGAGTTTATGATTTTACTTACCCTTTTAATTTTTGTGACATTTGTTTTTAGAGAATAAATTTAAATAAGGCACATTTCATATATATATATATATATATATATATATATAGTCTAGTACTTCTAGTACTTCTTCGTTTGTACTATACGTACTAACGTAACCTACCTACTCTACTTTATTTTACTTTTAACCTTAAACTTTACTTAAGTTTA